AACATACGTATTTTCTATAAATTAATACACTATCCTTAAAGCTCTTGTTGTGATAATCTTTTCTCACACTGAATCCCACATTTTCACTATAATTGTTATGGAACCTATAAGCATCTTCTTCCGAGTCAAATTGTATTCTCATATATGGAGTATTGTCTGCTTTATCAATATCAACATATTTCATCTCCACTATAGATTAGGCCCCCTACAATAACCAAACAGTTACACAAATTAAATATAAGATCAAAAATTGCCCATATAAATTTTTAATTGCAAATGGAACAAATAAATACTTATTTTTTTTGTTCCCTATGAACAAGAAAATCTTATGTATCAAAGTTTATATAACTCAATTTCACCAAAACCTAAAACATCAATACCCATATATCAAATAATCAAATATACTCACAAAAAACATAGTAGAAAGAATGATGGCAGTCACATAATTCTACCAAGATTCTACAGGAATTTTTTTTTTTTTAAAAAAGTTCTGAATTTTATGAACTGGAATTTCATAAAAAAATTCTGAAAAAATATCAACATTACCAGTGCGAAATCGTAAGAGACGAGGTCAAAGTGCCAGGAAATTTTAAAAAAAAAGTTATGAATTTTATGAACTGGAATTTCATAAAAAAATTCTGAAAAAATAACAACACTACCAGTGTGAAATTGTAAGAGACAAGGTCTAAGTGCCAATCAACCGCTATAGAGAAACAAAAGTGGAGAAGAGCAATGAAAACTTTGGAACTTTGGAAAATTTTGTAGAGAGTTTTTTTGTATGTTTTTAGGCGAGGCTGATTTCACTTTGGAGAGAAGGAACAACTCTGTTTTTTTACTTTGGAGGGAAGGAACAACTCTGTTTTTGCGTTTTGTTCTACACAGATGGGAGACGACGTCATTCGGGTTTCAAGCAGGGCTGGATATTGAACGACGTCGTTCCTTGCTTTGTTGGCTACTAAAGCAGATTGGTTTTTTATTTTTTAGTGGAATGACACCGTTCCACTTAACAACAAATTTTATTGTTAGATCTCTAACAGCAAAAGAGATCCACTTAGTGTTTAAAACCTGGCCCGGCCTGACCCGACGAGTTGACCCGGTGAACCGGTGCCTAAACCGGGCCAGGTCACTGTTTGGATCATTTATGCACCAGACCTGTCTGAAATTCGCTGAATCATTCTCACCCGGACGATTTTAATCAAACTGGACGGGTTAGTTATATTTATATAAAAGACTAAGTTTTGGGCATTTTGCCCTAAATCAACACTCCACAGTCTCTCACTCGCTCTATTCATCAAGTCGAACGAAAAACGACGAAGACCAGCCAAGCCAACCTCTGCCTCTTTTCTTCGCAACGATCGATCATCGATCGATTAGCGGTTGCGAGCCTGCTCCGATCTCTGTTCTCTACGAGTCTGCGACACAACGACAACCTCTTCTCTTCGACAACTCTAAATTAATAGTCTCTTTTCTCTATCTCTTCGACTCCATTAATAACTATTGATAGCAGGTATACTACTCTCTCTCTGTCATTATTTCTCCCCCTCTTTCTCTGTTGTTATCTCTATTGGTCTCGGTCTTTCTACTCTCTAACAGTAACATGTACATTGCACAGTATATGGAAAACAATAAGAAAACGTGAGTTAGAGAGAGAAAGTTAAGGAAATATTTGATTTCTTACCATTATACGTCTATTCTTGGGCTTGAGTTCACTAACAGTGGGTTCTTGATTATCGATCGCCAGTTTTGACACTCAATATGACAGAGTGGTATACTCTGTTTTCAGAGTGTGTTTGTGTGTGTGTAAGAGAGAGAGAGAGTCGTAGAAAGACACTAGAAAGTAGGAGAAAATAGGGGGGTTTAGAATCCTAACTCTTATTGTTGGCTTCAGTTAGTTTAGATTTTATCCAATTTCTTGCCATTTTGTCTCCTAGGATCCTTTTTTGTTTCCAGCAACGTTAAAGTTAATGTGTTGTGTTGTGGGGTTTAATTACTTGTGGTTTATGCTATGCTCATGTGCTTTATTTTGTTTTTATGTGTCTTGCTTACTATAGTTTAAGTTTGAAGTTTAAAATTTGAAGAGTGTAAATTACATGGATTATACTTAGATTGATACATTGTCGAAGAGTTGAACTTAGACTTGGAGCCTTGAACTTCAATAGAGGTATTTTTCTCTACTTAACAAGTTGTATTGAAAATTGAATACATTGAAATTGGATACATGTTTGATGATTTTTCTCTACTTAACTTTACATGTTTGATGTTATTTTTATAATTATTGTGATTTTTTAGCCTATTTATTATTATTTTTAATTTTTTATTATATTACCGGTCTAACCAGTGACTCATTGACCAGGTCCCTTCACCGAATTGATGTCCAGGATGAGTTTTAAAACTATGGCTCCACCCCTTGAACTTACTTTTGTTCTCTCTCTACTACTACCTTGTACTCTTTCATTAATAAGAGTTCTCCGACCATTATTGTCGTCTTCAATGGTAGGCCCCAACCACCTAATTTTTGTCTGTTGTTATTAATTTCTTTATACCACACACTCGACTGATTTAATTGTGCATAATTAACTTTGTGCATCATTAATTAATATTTTTAAATGCTAATCCATATTTTTTAAACGTGAAATTATAATCGATTGAAATTCTTTATAATCAATGACAAAGACAGGAATTTAACCTAGGGTGTGCCCGTAATCACAACTTTTAGTATATTATTTTGGGTAAACAAAAAGAAGTTGATACATTTATATTTATTTGTAAATATTAATCATAAAAATACATATGTCGATTCTAAGTAATTTTATGTTCAAATTAAGAGTATATAATATATCTAAAATACTGAAATTCATTAGGACTTCTCCAAAAAATGTTCATAATATGTTAACAGTCATCTGTTCATACGAAAGCCATGGGTGGTCACCGTAGAATATATTTAAAAATATTTTAATATATGTAAATACATATACATATAAATAATTTATTTTTTTTAAAAAAAATTGAAGCTGGGGTCATTGAACTTCGTGGGTCAAGGGTGGCTTTACCCATGTTCATGGTCAATCATAAATTATAGTGATCAATCAAGAATAATAATTAATCATAAAATATAGTGATCAATCACGAACAAAACTACTTAGTTGAAACTTATAACTTGACCTTTAAAAGAAGAGTAATACTATTTGAACTTAAAAATTTGACTTAATTTGCTGACATAATGATGTGACTTTAGTAGAACTATTGGATCAACATCAAGTTTCAATGTTTGATGGACCCCACAATCAATCCAAATGTCATAGTAAATTAGGTCTCAATAGCATTGCTCTTAAAAAAATATATAATTTTATCTTTAAGAATTGTAATTTGACTNAATTTTTTATTATATTACCGGTCTAACCAGTGACTCATTGACCAGGTCCCTTCACCGAATTGATGTCCAGGATGAGTTTTAAAACTATGGCTCCACCCCTTGAACTTACTTTTGTTCTCTCTCTACTACTACCTTGTACTCTTTCATTAATAAGAGTTCTCCGACCATTATTGTCGTCTTCAATGGTAGGCCCCAACCACCTAATTTTTGTCTGTTGTTATTAATTTCTTTATACCACACACTCGACTGATTTAATTGTGCATAATTAACTTTGTGCATCATTAATTAATATTTTTAAATGCTAATCCATATTTTTTAAACGTGAAATTATAATCGATTGAAATTCTTTATAATCAATGACAAAGACAGGAATTTAACCTAGGGTGTGCCCGTAATCACAACTTTTAGTATATTATTTTGGGTAAACAAAAAGAAGTTGATACATTTATATTTATTTGTAAATATTAATCATAAAAATACATATGTCGATTCTAAGTAATTTTATGTTCAAATTAAGAGTATATAATATATCTAAAATACTGAAATTCATTAGGACTTCTCCAAAAAATGTTCATAATATGTTAACAGTCATCTGTTCATACGAAAGCCATGGGTGGTCACCGTAGAATATATTTAAAAATATTTTAATATATGTAAATACATATACATATAAATAATTTATTTTTTTTAAAAAAAATTGAAGCTGGGGTCATTGAACTTCGTGGGTCAAGGGTGGCTTTACCCATGTTCATGGTCAATCATAAATTATAGTGATCAATCAAGAATAATAATTAATCATAAAATATAGTGATCAATCACGAACAAAACTACTTAGTTGAAACTTATAACTTGACCTTTAAAAGAAGAGTAATACTATTTGAACTTAAAAATTTGACTTAATTTGCTGACATAATGATGTGACTTTAGTAGAACTATTGGATCAACATCAAGTTTCAATGTTTGATGGACCCCACAATCAATCCAAATGTCATAGTAAATTAGGTCTCAATAGCATTGCTCTTAAAAAAATATATAATTTTATCTTTAAGAATTGTAATTTGACTTTTAAAATGCATAACTTCTATAATCAATCATAATATTTTGGAATCGATTATAATTTTTTTGCAATTATAACTTATATCTCCAAACAATTATAATTTTCCATACCTACGACCATCTCTCTCAGAAGTAATGTGATCTTATAGCTTCCTCCACACCTATGAAAATTTGGATTAATTATACTTTATTTTTTGGTAAAAAAAAGGTTCAAGGGGACAATTGGAGTGAAACCCTTGCCTGAGCATTACTATAAAAACCGGAACCCACGAGGGAAACCCACCAGTGGGGCCTAGATGTTAGAAAACCGCAGCCTCTCCAAAAACTGCAGTGCGTGTGCAATTGGATTTGGATTCTGTTTGTTTTGGGGGTGGATTTTGCATTTCGTATTTGAGGTGGGTTTTGTCTGTGAGGCACTATGTTTTTGTGTCCACAGTGGTTGTATATTGCAGATGCTTGTGTTGCCGTGGTGGTTCTTAGTGGCAGTAGAATTTGAACGGATCCAATGGAGGTGGTGGTGTTTTTCGGGTTGGTGGTGGAGGTGGAGCTCCATAGGCTGGTAGTATAAAATAAAAAAAAGAGACAAATATAAGTATATATAAAGGGATTGCACATAAAAGGGAGTTCTCCAAAAGAGAACCACGGGCAACACCTTGCCAGATTCAAGACAAAAAAGAGTCCTATCCCTACTTCCCCAAAAGCAAATTTACAAGTACGTCCTGTAGGCAGATCATGTATCAAGTTTCTAGCTTCAAAGAAGCCACTCTAGACTGCCTGTTGCGCTTTGCCACCTTGACGAAGAATAGTGAGAAGCAAGAGGGAGCCCACCATGGCCGGCGAATGTTTTGTTCCCCTTTTAAGCAAGCCACTAGAGGAACATTTGGAAACAGCAAAAACAAACTAATGTAAAATAACAAGCTGAAACAAATGGATACCAAGACATTGGAGACAGTATAAATTATTGACAAGGTTATGCATTTTTCAACACCAGGTTTGTTACTTCAGGCCCAACCTGACATTTACTTTAGGGATGCAAATCCATGACCGTAAGCTTAGTCTGCAATATCCTCAAAGCATTCGAATATCAAGAGATATTAGCCAAAACAAACTGGAGATCATGGGATAATGAACATCATTAGACCATGGGATAAGTACTTTATATCACAAGCAAATTTCCCCTAGAAAAAATATGCCCTCATCAGGGAGTCCAAAATTGCAATGAAAATGTGCCAAACTACTTCTGCAGCATAGAAAATAGCAGATCTAGTGTATAGAACCTTATATGGATCAACAAAAAACACGACAACTATTTGAACACTTTCTAAGGAGTACTATACACAACTGACACACTTAACTCATGGATGTGCATAACGTGGTAGTAAAAGAGTGACGCTCATCAAGGAAAGAAAAGTGATAAGATTTCACGACTCAGCAGATCAAGAATGGCTCATTCACCTTATTTTGATATAAATAGTAGTGCAATGACATGATCAAAGTGTAAATTTTGGAGAGGGAGAGACCTTTAATTCGCCTCAGTTCCTTGCACAGTATTATGAAGTCCCCCCATTTCAGGTGGCACCGTCTTATAAACCAAAGTATCTGCTCAGTTGTAAACATGGACATCCCCTCCAAGTATTCTCCATTAACACCATTTTCTTTGAAAATTTGTCGATAGTTACCGAGATTAATTTCTTCCAACCACAGACCAACATCCTGACAAAGCAAGAAAGAGGTATCCAGAAGACATGTCATCAAAATAACTCTAAATTTTTTTTATTCCTTGATAATCACCATGAGGTCAAGGTATTTTTGAGTCTTTATAAAAGGCACAATGTATGATAGTTGTTTGAGTAATTCAGTAATTAATGTTTTCAAGGCCAATATGCTAGTATATCTTGGTCAGCTCCTCTTAGTTACTAAATTAAAACCATCAACAAGCAAATCGAAAGACACCTTAATACCAAAGCAATTTCTCCTTTTTGCACATATTTTTTGAGGGGATGGGTGTAAGAAAGTATTTCCATCTAACAGAGACAAAAGTTTATCTAGGCCACTAAATGCTCATGTCTTCATCAATTATTCTTCCAACTGGAAGCAGAGTCTTAACCATTTGGCAGGGGAAATAGTTGTGAGACCTTATAACTTATCTGGTTTAGGCTAATTTGAACATTAAATATGTTATGGACAAGCAGTAGGCGCAGGTCTGTAGGCATTAGGCAAAAACTTTTAACAGACAAGTAACGTGGTCATCCAACCTACACTGGAAAAGCCATAGGTGTAGATTTGTGTGAAAAGCTGGGATTTATTGCTCAACATATTGTAAGTGAGCTGGTAGGACATTTCTTTGAGAGAGGACAGCTATAGCGTGAGGAAAAGGGAAAGACGCATTATATTCAAAGGGTTTGAGTGACAATTACCAGGAAACTTTTAACCATTTTTTACTATACTTTCTCGTTAGTTGAAGAGTATAGTATTCTAGTCTCCTTGTCTTTAAAGTAGATTATGCGCCGCTGCTGGTTAGTGAGAGGGATGGGTGTGTAGAAGGGTGAAGAACTTCCAGAAAGTTTATCTATAAGTTTTTATGTGTTTTATGTTAATAAGTGAGAGAAGTAATATGGAGATGCCAATCCAAGTTTTTTTCTCTATTCCTTTTGTTTATTTTTGTGTAAATTACATCCACCTCATTCAAGGTTTGTCCAAACAAGTAGATCCCCTCTTTTATGGATAATAACACCAATTCCTCTGCCTCTCACTTTTAACAGAGATAATCACATGACAATCTAGAAAGCACGGATACGGACATGGAGACATGACAAAGTTCAAACATATAGGACACAAGTACAACAAGGATATGACTATTAAAATAATATAATATATTTTTTAAATAATAATAGAGTTTTAATATATTAAAAATAAAGCATATATTAAAACAATATTAATAATAAAACCTAACAAATATTATTTTTTTGATTAAAATTGAAATAGATCAAGATACATATCCACCATTTTCATTAAGCATCATTACATCCATTAACATTCATAGTATATAAGTTACATAACAAAAAATATATTAAAAAAATAGAAATCACACTCCTTTTAATAATTAACAGATTTTTTTTAATAAAAACAATTGCTAGTCGTATCCTAGATGTGTCCTAGTCATATCTTGGCCATGTCCTAGCCGTGTTCGACTAATTTCAATATTCATGACACTTCTAGCCTTATTGAACACATGTTCGACACTGCCACAGCTCCCCTCTGAGAAATATTCGTGCTTCCTAGATGACAATAATACCTCCATTGTGAAAAATTGGTCTAATGAATGATCTTGAACTGATTTTGTAGCATCCAATCCAATGATGCCACGTTATATCATCAGTAACAAAGACAAACAAATTTAAAAAAGAAAATCAAAAAACTTATGATGCCCAAAAACCCACCCCTCTTCTTTGTTTTCTCTACCCTAAGGTCCAAAACCATCATCATCATCATTATCACCATCACATACAGGATCGAAGCCATAAAAATGTTCTAGAATGGGCACTCTAATAAGTTTTATCCTAATCGATAAAACAAACATGACACATTTATTCTATTTATTTCATCAATGATCTTTAAAAATTCTATGTATATATGTGCACAACAGAAATAGATTAATTGTAGTCTTTAATTGAAATGAAGTTAATTGTAGGTAGTCATAATTGACTTAACAAATTTTTATACTTTGATAGCGTTGGATGATGACTTCACTATTAATAACTAGTAAAATTAAGGTAAATTCACATATATGTACACTAAATAATACACCACGTTTTTTATCTTAAAATTTGGTGAGCAAGATCACAAATTTTTGTTAGATTTTAAACTCAATACTAAAGTGTAGGCTTGACAATCATGTCGAGTAAAACGGTTTTGTGTCGGATAGAACGTGTTTGTGTCAAAAAATCCTCCATCCATACCCAATTCGTTTATATAAATGAGTCTAACTATCACACCCATACACGAATCATTTATTAAACGGGTTATCCGATATTACTCGTGTGTCATCCGCTAAATAAGAGAATAGATTAGATAATTTCAAGTCTATATGAAAAATCATTAACTCGCCACACGTTACATATGTTTGACCTATTTACTATAACAATAAATCATGATTGAAAAAAAAAATAAAGATAAAAAATAAACATTAAATGACTACTAAATTTGAATAATTCTAAGAGATGGGAGGTGTGAGATAAGACAGAGGCTGAGAGGCGTAACTTGTTTTTTAAAAATTTATTATACCACTCTTAACAGGTTAAACGAGTTGAAATGAGTTTATGGGTTAAACATGAAACCGGTTCGTTTATTTCACGGGTTTGTCGAGTTAACCCGTTAACCACCCGAACCTATTAAGACTACACTCAAACCCGTTAAATCCGTGTCGGTTTCACGATTCGTGTCTAGAATTGTCAGTCCTACTAAAGTGCACATCAATAGTAAAATAACCACGTTGATCAAAAGATATTAAAATGAATCCAATATGTCCAAACTAATCCGAATATGTCTGAAGTGTGTACACTCTTATCATTTATGAGTATGAATTAATTGATATAATAAGACAATAATATGGTGGACGTAATTAGATATATTTGAAAAATATAATATATAATGGTAAGACAAAAAAATTGAGGGTGGGCATCGGTCCTTGAGTAAGCCCACCACTGTAATCACATATAGACCATCTTCTCTTTCACACTATTATTGAGGGTGGGCATTGGTAAGTGAAAACCTCAGTTCCACCTTGTGATGATTGTGTCGCCTTGATGGTTTTTTTATTCTCATGTAATGTTGTATATATATATATATTTTTTGAATTACATATTTGTGGAGAGATATAAAAGTTTTATTTATTTTATCAAATATCATGATCTAAATGACACAAAAAAAATGAGTTTTGGGACAATAAAAGAATTTTTTAAAAAATTTGAGTAGAAATTTGAGTTTGCTCAGTGGAGTACTCTATACCAAATCAAGTTTTTACTAAAACTTTGACTCAAATTTGAGTATAAATTTGAATTATGGTTGGAGCTGCTCTAAATTGAGTAAATATTGGGTGTAATGGTTACACCATGAAAATAATGTTGATGTGGTATAACCGTTTAATAAAAAAACTACAAAATAGATAAAATACGGCCCACTTCCTATCATAGAGGTGATTATGTATTACGTGGCTGAATAATTAATTTTTGTGGGGCTTTGTTGCAGACTTGTTTATTTATTAGTGGACAGTTACAACATGTGGCACTATTACACCAAATATTTTTTCCACTAAACCATTTGTTGGGGCCAAAATAAGTGACCGAGAACAGAGAGATAACTGCTAAAATTAAGTTCTTAATCTGTCTAACTTATCAAAAATCTTTTATAAGTTTGGTTTGGTTTTTATATCTGTATAATTCCCTAAAAGGGAAATGGAATAGCTCAAAAACACATGATAGATTGGAGTAGAAGAACTTCCTGGCGGGATGAGAAACGATGGAAATTACATATTACAGATTCTGTTGTTTTCTATTATTTTCTCATCAACCCGAGCAAAGCAATTCGATAATCGAAAAAGTAACAACCCAATTTCACCTAATCTATAACTAGCATAATCCAATGAAATTAACAGCAATACACGAGATCTACAAGCACATAAAAGATCAACATAAAGTCAATATAAAATTACCTCAACAGTCCAGATGAAGAAATCGAGTGTCTCAGGTGGCCGTTCTTTGCTCATCTCCCAAATCTCTCAATAGCCCTAAGCTTCACACCCAAACACAGTCTCAATTAAATCAATTTAACATTTGAATTTCTCACTAAAATTGAAATAATTCCCCCCCAAAAAAAATATGGACACAAATTACTTACCTGCAATAAAGCTGTGATTAGGGTTTGATTTTCTACAATAGATAGTGACAATAGTTTCAGAAGATTGAAAAGATTTTCAGTGATCGAGAGAAAGAAGGTGAGTGGGGGGTATTTTGTGCTGAGGCTTTCTTTGACATGGACCGATAGGAAGGGCCCACTTCACTGTCTTGAGGTGCTAATTTATATGTTTGCCTCTGTGTTGTTAATGGCCATGTGCATGTGAGGGTTGGTGACTCAGTTGGGTAAATTACAAAAAGAACCCTTGTAGTTTCAAATAATTGTAAGGGATAGCCTCACAGGTATTGAAATTATACTACACTCCTTTTTGTTTTTTTTTGCTGATAAAAAAGGGTAAGAGCATCTCCAACAACAAAATACATTTTACCTAATCAAAAACAACATTTTTTATTTTAGTTACTCACTTTTTCAATATATACTCTAACATATTTTTTATATTTTTAATTACTCCTTTTAAATATTATTTCTCATTATTTTTGTATTATATTTTTTTGGGAATAGTGAAAGAAAGAATGAACGAAAGGAGAGGAAGAGAGAGAAAATAATATAAATTATCTTTATAAATTGCTATAGTGATACTCTATATTTAGAATATCACAGTAGTAAAAAATTATTTTACAGTATGTGAACATAATCTGTTAGAGTATGATTTTTGGTTAACTAAATTTTAGCTATTTTACTCGTTTGAAACATCTGTTGGAGATGCTCTAAAAAGGGGTGATCAGATTTATAATCCACGTCAGGACGAGGATCATAACAGGCCTTACATGTTGAGGAAGAGTAATGTTATTGAAATTTAATTTATTAATCTAATTTACTATAATTATTGGATTAATCGAAGACTTACCAAACATTAGAACTTAGTGTTAATTTAATAATTATAATGAAATTACATAATTATGTCAATAAATTATATCAAACTTTTAAGTCTCAATATTATTACTCTTCAAGGAATGTCAATATTTTTCCAATTAAATGTAAAAAAGAGTACAACACATATGATTAATTTTTATATGTGTTATGCTTTCGTTTATGAAAAAGAGGTAGAATACTGAAGATAACTTCTAATACATCAATCGACTTATAAAATATTGGGAATACTGTATTGATAAATAATTTTGAGTTAATAGCAATTTTTTGTCTTTAAAGTATGTATTTTTTGTTAATTTGATATCAAAAGTATTAATTTTATCAATTAAATCTTTAAAATATTCAATTCATATCCCTTTGATTCCTATTCAGACAATCCGTTGAATTTTTTGACGAAAATGACCATGTGTCATACTTTCAGACGACTACATTAAACATTAAACTGACAAAAAATTTAAATTTTAAGAAAAATAAAAATGCTATTAACTCAATATTTTTTTAATACCATACATTTAGTTTTTATTTCTACTTTTTTTTTTATAAAATCGTAGCATGACAAGTGTAAAATTTTTCTTATTTGATTATTTTATATTACTTTGTAATTTTTATGTAATTATAAATCAATTAAACTAAAATTTATATATACATTTTTTATCAGTAACGTATACACTAATCTTAAAATATTTTAGGAGGATCCAATGCCAAATTTTTCAGGTCAAAATAATTCTCCACCTTTAGGTTGATTGCGATTTGACATGTGGAGCCCAAGAAGACGTCTCTCAGATCAAACCACCTCATCTGCAAGATCAAATGACAGAGACATTGGATTAGAGAGATTATTGCTTCTGATGTAACTTGATGTGCAACTAGGAAATAACACTGCATATATCTAATTTTTTCGAAAATTTTCAATAATAACAATCGTATGCATTAAACCTTTTTTTTTTTTCAGTTTTCTAGCATTATTATTAAAAACTATCGGATTACTGAATTTGAACTCAATTTGCTCAAACAACATGAAATCTTTGTGAAATTATTGGGAGTGACGATAGTTTAACAAGTTTGTCATGTTCGATTAATAAGGCAAGTATTAGTTAAATCAACTAAATCCTTAGTTTTAAGTCATAAGTGCCTACGCTACTCTTTCGGGTAAGACTTTCCTTCAACATACGAATATCATATTTGTCAAAAGTAACAGGTAAAACCAAGAAATTATTTAGGACCAACTTGAGAGGTTTTTCATTTTTTCTTTTAAACAAAGAAAAGTTTTCACTTCAAAAGCTCAACAAGATTTCTCTAACTTTCCCATCCATGCCAGGTCTGGTCTTTCAGTTGACAGGTATGGCATGTAAACTTAGGTATAAGTTAAAGATCAGCCTATTATAATTTAAAGGGAAGTTAAATTGATAACAGAAAAAAGTTATAAATATAAACATCATGAATTTAAATTTTAATAATTCGTTAAGTCAATCTCTCGTAATACTCTAGTTTCAATATGAATTATCTGTCTTTGACCGAAGCGGGTAGATGATTAATCGAAATACGTGTACACACAAAAAAAAGATCAGTCCATTACGTTGATGATAAATGCATTATTCTATAAGCTCAAATTACCTGATAAGCCATACCCAAATTAATTTAGGCCACTAATGGCACCCCTAATTGATGGACAAGCTAGACCACCTGAGGAAAGAATGCCTACATAAGGATAGCTTTACCATTTCTAATTGAAAAAAAAAAAAAATTAGTAATATTTTTTAAAGCTACTTTGACAGCAAAGAAAAAAAAAACTCTTTTTCTGCATTTCTTATTTTCAAGAAAGAATATAAATCATGTTTGTTGACTACTTTTCAAAAATAACATAGGTATAACAATGTTCATGTAGGGCTTCCTATATTTTGCTAAAAAACAGACCTAAACCACTTAATTGTAAGAAGCCTGAACACCACCAAGAGAATTCATAGATCTACATGGCTCCTTTTGATTACTCACTCACATAACCTATGAACTCTTGAGCAGCCTCATCTGTGATGTGTTTTTACCTAAACCCCTGATAGAATCATATTGTAGCTGTTATAATGCAGCTATCATATCACAAGCATTATGACACCAAAGATGCAGCAAAACAATATATGGACAACAAGTTGTAATCTCCTCACATGTAGAATGAGAAAATTAATGGACAAGTTGGGAGTCCTATCTGCACGCTGAAACTAATTAAATCAGTACGTTGGTGAAGAAGTAGAAAGCAAACTCTTCTACATTCTAGCATAAATACCAACACAACATCATCTTATGGGGAAGCAAATTATAAATATTTTGAGCAAGAAGGAGCATACGACAAAATTGGTCGAATATCTCAATTGCAATAAACTTAAAGATATCGGCCACTCCGATGTAATCGGCCACTTAAAAGATCAGATAATATTAAATTTTAATTGTGAGTTGAGTTTACTCTTCTTGTTTTTGATTAAACTTTTGAACTTATTAAAGGTAAATCACAACCGTTGTGGCATTTCTTCTTGTAATTTGAGTTCTTGAGACGGGTTTTTTAACGGGTTTAGATTTTAATATAATCTAGGTTATTGAAACGAGTTCTCAACGGATTCAGATTCTCCATCCATAAACCTGAGTTTGGTTTTCTTGGATTGTTTTTTCAATATTATTGTTGTGTCTCAAAGCAAGTCGATTGAGGTTCACATCACTTTCCTCGTGATCTTGTTCAAGGAAATCGAGTAACATGTCTCCTTTGTGAAACCACACCATCCAGTTTGAACAGATAAAACATTCTATGACCGCTCTATGAATGTTCTTCTCAGACAGGTAGCCTCACACGTTCTCTTTTTCTCGTTGGCTAGACTACTATACACAAACGAAGGCGGGTGAGCAGGTCAAGATATGGCCAATGCCCAATGACTACAGAGAACCCAGAGTAGCTGAAGCATGGTCCAAATTTTCTGATATTTTACCAAACCTCAGCAAAGATTTGCAAGTCAACGAAGGAAATGAGCAAGTGATACAAGGGGGCAAAAAATAATCAAGAAATCTCAGAAGCCACTGGTTGAAATAGTATTGCTCAATCAGTGAGTGCCAGCTGGTGAACTACTAGTTTTGCTAACAATCCCCTTACCAAAATACTTGGCAATCACAGAGAACCCATCCTTTGAACTTTTAACTTGCTGGAAAAACCGATCTGTACTCAGGAGCACACTCCGGACATTCTTTCTCGTTGTCACCAAGGCAACGCTGATGGAAGGAGTGCATACACATGAAGTGGACAGCAGGGAGGTCAAGGGTGAAAGTGCAAGCAGTACACTTGCTAAGTTGAAATATTCTGGCATTGATCCTCAGATCCTGGATTTCTTCTCTCATTGCCAATGTCTCCTCCTGCAAAATTAGAGGAAGAGTCTAAAATATTCTTTATAGGTCAGATAAGTTATAAAAAGGTTGAACTGCACATTGAAATTTTCCACACAACAGAACTTCAAAAACTCCATTTTTTATCCTTGTCAAGGAGTGAGGGAAGAAAGAGAGCAAATTATCAGATGACAAGACGACCAAGAGTACCACAATGCATATCTACTAACACCTGAATGGAAGGAGCAAGGTGGTTTGATGTCATCCCATCATGATTGTTAAACCATTTGCTCCTAAAAGTCCAACCCCATAAAAACAATCATGCTTGTATATCTTATATCCTGTTGCTCTATCCAATCCAGAAATAAATAACACAAACTTAATTTGCACTAAGTTATGGAATCAACCGCCTAGCATCTCTATGGAAACATTTGGTAGCATAAGGAAGCACTGATATGGATATGGATATAGACACGATACGATACGAATATAAGACACGGCCAAACTTGGATATGAATAGGACCAGGATACTACAATAAATATATTTCTATTTTAACTGTTTTCTGACAGTAAATTCTTTGCCAAAAATTCAAGAAATATAATTTTTTCTTTCAAAAAACCATGGATTGTCTTATGATGGTATACCCACAAAATGAACATAACTAATTAAAAGAATCAAAATCAACATTTGACTAGTTGGTTTTCTTATATTAACCAAACTTGTATGATCTACCCGGTAAGCAAGCTCTAATTACACCCCATTTAAATCCACAATGATCTTGCTTTAGGTGTATAATTGTATGTAGATTCGAGAGAAAGGGAATAAATCATAATTAAAAATTATATATCCAAAATTTGAAGCACATTAGTCTTGGATTCCTATGGCTGATACATATCTAGGAATGAAGAATATTTTATCAATAATTGGATATATATGGAGTGTATCCAATATGAATACTTCTACCTTAGAGAATAGTAATTCATAGGTTAGCATTCTGACCTTTTTAGCAGTGACACTTCACCGATTTTCCACCAACGATTGGGTGCTTGATGCTCAAAATGTGAATTAGGTGCCGGACTCTAAAGTATATTACTTACACAATAATAGGCACTAGCAAGGTTGAAGTGATACGAGGATGTATAAGGTTCGCAAGTTCATTAAGCCTAGGAAAAACTACTAATTTTTATCATAACGAAGAAAGTGCCGCAACATAGATGCACTACACAACAAGTCCCGCAAAGTCAATTAAAAGATTTTAGCTTATAAACTCTAGTTTCCAGTTAAAATAAGCTTATTATTGCAATCAAACCGTCTCTTGAGGCTTAAAGGCTGAACCATTGCCACCTTTCACTCAAGCAATCCAATGATGAACAAGGTATACTTAACACATATCACAAGAATTTTTGAACAATAATACCCAACCTGATACTTCTCAATAGCTAGCCGATCTTCTTCAATCAGCTTTGACTCCTGTTCCAGCTTTCGAGCAATATAATCTTTGATGACAGACAGAGTGAGGCATGGATTCCTGGACAGGGTCTGAAGAACTATGATAGGAGGTAAGATGTCATCCCTTTCAATATAAGTCAAAACTTCCTTAACTTCTTTGGAACAATCTTCTCCAAGTTCACCGAAGTATTTCAATAGATCTGCCCAGAGAGAAGGATCACCCCCCTTTCCCGAATCCCCCAGCCTCTTGCAGCATGCAATCAAACTCTCATGGTCATGGGGGCCTGCATGTAGCAAGCAATCACCTCTTTGTAAAGTTTCATCTTCTCATAAAGATATAACAGCCCTTCTTTAAAAGCATTCATTTCACATAGAATTATAGCAAGGTTAACATCATATACTGGATGTTCCTGGTCAGACGGCCATGCACTCTTAAGCAATAGTAGCCCCTTTTGAAGTCTCTCCTGATGATCCTTTTCCTTATTCATCTTTTTGCTATTCACATGTAATTTCCCATTAGATTCTGCTCTTGACAACTCAGCTGCTACAATGCCATTCTCACCAATGTTAGCTACTGAGATTGATGGGAAGTTCAGGTAGTGTGACAAGTACAACTCCAAGAGTGTGTTGTGAATTTCAAGTTGAGCCGGTGAGTCCTTCACTTTGTTGGAGTATTTCTCAAGAAACTCCATAAGTGACTGTGGATGGTGGATAAAAACGTTGAGAAAATCAACTGGAGATGGCAACATGGATACATATGTGCCATTTGAGGTCCCCCTCTTGGCTGGTTCTCCATCCTCTGTGCAAAGCCTCATCAGAATTTCAATAGTTTCCAGTGGCTTGTGCTCTACAATAATTTTTCCGTACTTTTTGACAGTCACCCCAGCATGACTGGATTCAAGACTAGAAATGTATTGCAAGGCTTCCTCTTAGCTCCCCAGGTCCTCAAGTAAAATTTTCAAGTACCATTCATGCCTCCCAGCCTTCTTAGCCACATACATTGCATGCTCATGATAATTGGCAGCTCGGCAGACTCTTATTGCAGTTTCCACATCAAATCTATGCTCGCCCACACTATCCTCACCTTTGATGAATACATTCAACTTGTCGACATCTTTCAATTTGGTGTAACACTTCAACAGAAGAGTGGTATGGTCTTTAGAGGCAAGCCCCTTCTCATGTAACTTCTCCAAGTAATTAGTGAGGTTGTAGATTCTTTGTGCGTCTAAAAACTTCTGTATCACATACGAAGGTTCAAGGTGACCAATGGTGTGGATGTACTGAGCCATCGCCTCATCATAGTCTTGTTTGCTGTATAAATGATCCCCATATTTCCTCAACACTTCTGCAGTTGCGGCAGCATCAGCTTGCTGACTCTGAACAAGATTGATAGCTACTGAATAAAGATTCTTCTTAAAAAGCATATCTAATTTGCTTTCCATATCTTTCTCCCAAGTACATAAAGCTGATTTGTCTGTCATTATAAGTATTATGTTACCCCATTCACTAAGCATTTGAGAAACCTCTTCAATCACTATACTGTGGGCAATTAAACGGTTCTTCAGGTCGTAAATATTGAAAGTATTCATGCTATTTCTTTGATCTGCAATAACACATAACAGGTATCCATGAAACCACCCAAGGAATTTCTTCTCTCCCTCAAAGGCCCAACAAGGACCCCGGCCATCAACTTCATAAAAATACACAGCCTCGGGTCGACCAATGATCAACTCCTGATTACAGGGCAGGAATAAAATGTTTAGTTGTATATAACTATAAAACACTATCTTATAGCTATATAATCATATGATGAGCATCCAGAATGGCATACCAATCGATCACTCATCGCAACATTAGTGACACAAGATCCAATCTGATCTAGCGTTTGCCACTAGGTGGTTGAGTCTGCAAGTTAAACAGGCTCACTGAAGTTGGAGTTACTGCAAATAGCTGAAGAGTATGACCATCAACCCGGAATCCTAGACCAGTAATAGGAGATTGGCTTTCATTGGAATGGATATCCACCTGAAGCTTGAAACGCTTGATGCGTTCGCATGCAATATCCCCTTGGATGCAATAAATGAATCCGCTATCTAATCCAATAGCTATGAGTAATATTGGTGGAGCTTCCTCAAGAACTAGAAATAAGGTGATCTGCTGACATGACATTTATTAGGCATTCCTAAAGTTACATGATAGAAGATAATTCACAAACTGCACTCTTACATAAAAGATTAAAAGTGTAACATGCATTACCTTTGCTTGTGCCCTCCGACTGCATCTTGTCAAGGTCAAAAACCTTGAGGCACACATCTGATAACTGTGGAGAAATTTGCTCATCTTCTCCAACAGTCACCAGGAGGTTGCGTTCCTAGTAAATCAAGAAGAAGAAGAAAAAAAGAACACCTAGCACAATTAAATATGGTGATGAAATGTGTTAATCAAGTTATAACTATTCTCATCTTTAGTCTGCAAGAAATAAAATCAAATTTGTGCAAACCATATTGGCATTATATTGCCATACACAACTAGTGGTGACTCCAGGAATTTTCCTGTTAATAGTCGTTCAAAAAAAAATTCCAACGAGCTGAATTGCATCAAACCGACCCCCATGAACTTAATTACTCACAATATTTGGTCTCAGTGAATGGTTATTAGTATCGTACGATACACGATACGTATCGTACGATACGTCATGATACACCTAAAAAATGATACGTATCGTGGTTTTGTATCATTTTTACATCGTATTGTACGAAACAAGATACGATACACCCGATACGTGACGATTCTATTTTTTTTATTTTTTATTTTTAATTTTTGGGGTTGAAATGACATCGTTTTCCACTAAAACTTATTTTTAAATTACTAGCTAGTAAAACAACGTAGTTTCAGTGGTTATAGTTTAAAAAAATAAATAAAGTTTAATGTTAATGTTGTTCAATTAAATTTAAAATTCCTAATTAATATTAAAGTTGTTCAAACAGCTAATGTCAGAAGTTTGAATTAGAGGCCTTTGCATTTTGATATTACTGAACTATATTGGAAACTTATTTAGCAAAAAAAAAGAACTATATTAGAAACTTGAATAGTTTATAAAATATTAATGAAATACATATTATTATGAGTCTATGACTTTTTTAGAAAGGTATATACATATATTTTATTAATAATTATTTAAAAATTAAAATTACGCGTATCTTACCATTCACAATACGGTACTCAAAAACCTAACTTGGACAAAATATTGATCCCTGTTGGAGATATAACAACAACCTAGTTTATTAGGGTTTTATTAGGTTTTCCTTTTTACCTTTTTGTCCTTATTGTAACTCTCATTGACTATATATATGGGGGCTCTACACTTAATTTGTATCCCTTTTTTATTCACGTTGTATTTCAAGTTGGTATCAGAGTCATACTCTAACCCTAACCCTAACCTTGACCTTAACCTTCTCACCGACCACAAACCAACGACAACCAGCTGCCCTGCCATAACACCGATCAGCCCCACCGACAAAATCGAAGGTACCCAAAGCACAACGAACAACATACTGCCCTGCCATAACATTGTCTGTTACTCCATACACCATCAAACCCAGCCGACAAAACTGAAGGTACCCAAAGTCGATTGCACCTTTCTCACCGACTAGCCATACATATACAGCGAACAGTCAAACATATACAACCTTAACTCCTTACAACATATACCCAATACACTGCCTGCCGAAACAACATATTAACCGATTACTGAGTGGTCTCGCTCATTCCAGCTTTTCTTAGGCCGTGTAGAGAAGCTTGGTTGGCTGACGGGATCTCACCCAAAGCCAGCTGATACCGACCCTGGATATTCTGTGTGGTTCTCTGAGAACTGCGCTATTCTTGGATGGTTATTTGGCTCGATGGAGCCATCTGTTTGCAGGATCCACCAGTTTCATAGCTCTATTCCGAGACTATGGAGCGCATTATCAGAGATGTATTCTCAGTTAGGACGGGGAGTTCGTGTTTATGAGCTTTTTCAGGAGCTCTCATATGCTCAGCAGGGAGATATGACCGTTCAGGATTATTATGGCTATTTGACCCAGCGCTGACTTGAGTATGAAACTCTACGTCCTCTTGCTACTATTCTGAAGATAGAGCCCGAGGGAGCAGCATTCTTGCATACTCGAGAGCAGGAGGATAGGATTCACAAGTTTCTTATGGGACTTCATGATGAGGTTGAGGGACCTTATTCTCAGATCTTGTCGATGTTGACACTTCCTTCTCTTTATGAGGTGTATGAGATGATTGAGCAGCATGAGCGCCGAGTCCGTATTGCATCACTTCTAGTTGCGGCTTTGATTCCTTCGGCTGACCAGATGGCCCTTGCAACTGCTGCAGGGTCTCGTTCAGGATCCTCAGTTAGGGGTGGGCAGCGCTCGGACCAACACTGTCAGGGTGCCCTAGATCAGCGTAGACAGGGGGATTCTCGTCAATGTGATTATTATGGCCGACTAGGACATCTCAGGATTGCTTGCTGGAAGCTCCATCCAGAGCTTAAGCCGCCTCCTCGCAGCCGTATTGTTGCTCTTGCTGAGGTACCACCATCCACTACCGCTACTCCTACGGCTGCCCCTCCTTGGCAGAGTGATATGGATGCTATCACTTCCCGATTAGATATACTTATGTCTGCTCTGACTTCTTAGAGTCTGACTACTGCTGCTGCCACTGCAGGTATACCTCGTACCTTTCATGCTTGTGCCAGTTTATCTCCCCTTTAGATGTTGGACTTGGGTGCGAATGGTTACATGACAGGTGAGGCCCATCACTTCACCACTTTTGACGAGCAGTTACATACACAGGTTCAGTTAGCAGATGGGACACATGCCCCTATTATTAGTAGGGGTACAGTCCGCCTCCCAGATGGATTTACATTACGTTCGATTTTTCATGTGCCAAAGTTGACCATGAATTTATTATCTGTATATTAGTTAGCCAGAGATTTTTACTATGCGGTTGTATTCTTATCTGATTTATGTTATTTGCAGGACCTGAGTACCAGGAGGATTATTATCAGGGGACATAAGAAAGATTGATTGTATTATCTTGGTAATTCACCTCCAGTTTTATCAATTTCTACACATGCACCTGCTTTGTCTTTATCTGTTCCTAGCTTGCATGCTACTATTTTACCTAATAGTTGTCGTTATGATTTTTCGTCACAAAACTGTTCAGTTGTGGCATGACCGTTTTGGACATACAAATTTTAAATATTTATGTATGTTGTTTCCTGCTTTGAGCAATGCTTGTATTGATGGTAAACTTGACTGTTTTATATGTTCTCTATCGAAACATGTTAGGGCCAGTTATATTCCTCGCATGCACCAGTTACCCAAGCCATTTGACCTAATACACTCTGATATTTGGGGACCCTCTCTCTTTACTGCTCTATCAGGTGCCCGATACTATGTGACATTTATAGATGATCATACCCGTTGTACTTGGGTCTACCTTTTGCATCGAAAGTCTGATGTACTCCCTATAATCACTCAATTTTTACAGATGATTAAGACACAATTTGATGTCATTGTTCGTACTCTTCGTTCGGATAATGCCAAAGAATATGTGTCTGATGCCTTATTGTCCCATCTTTCTTCTCAGGATATTCTTCAGCAACTCACTTGTTCATATACTCCTGAGCAAAATGGTGTTGCTGAAAGGAAATATAAGAGTTTGATAGGGATGGTACGTTGTATGCTTAGAGGCATGAGAGTATCAAAATCTTATTGGCATATTGTTGTTTTAACTTCCACTTTTCTGTGCAATCGTACGCCGAGTCATGTTCTTCAGCATAAGGCTATTTTACAGGTCTTATTTCCTGAGCGGACACTTTTTTCGGTCCCCCCTCGTGTTTTTGGATGCACATATTTTGTTCAAGATCGATTTTCTACTCGTCATAAACTTGATGATAAAGCGATTCGTTGTATCTTTGTGGGCTATTGTCATCAATCTGGGGTATCAGTGTTATGATCCTATTAGGCGCCGTATGTATCATAGTCTAGATGTTACCTTTTTTGAGCATATTCCTTATTTTCCTTCCAGTCCTGTGTCTGCTCCTTCAGTTGACGATACTCTATTTGATTTTCCATTACCATAAGAGCCAGAGTCATTGGTCACTATCCCTACAGGGTCATCCGTCTCTCCTCCTTCGGAGCCACTCATCCCTGTCAGTACAGAGTCACCAGTCTCTCTTCCTTTGCAAGTGTATGTTCGTCGCCCTCGCTCTCATCACCCTGCTGATGTCCCCTCTACCTTAGGCGATGCAGACAATACTTCTTAGTTTGTTGAGCATATTTATGCACCTGTTGTTAGTACTGATGAGTTTACAGGTGTTGAGCCAGTTCCTTTACCTGATGAGACATTATTAGTGGAGGATGATGATTTAGAGCGTCGTTATCCGCGGCGTGATCGTCGTCCAGTTGATCATTATGGTTGGATCGCTAGGATATTATATTCGATTTCTGCTTATATTTCTTATGGTGATTTGTCTCCTACATTTCGAGCTTATAGTATGACCATATCAAATATGCTAGTTCCTCACTCTGTTTCGAAGGCTATACGGGAGCCCCAGTGGGTTCTTGTCATGCAGACAGAGATGGACGCTTTTCAACGTAATCATACATGGGATCTTGTCTCTTTACCTTCAGGAGTGAAACCTGTTGGTTGTCGCTGGGTTTACACCCTGAGGTTTCTTGTGGATGGTACTATTGACCGTCACAAGGCTAGGCTTGTGGCGAAGGACTTTACTCAGGTACCAGATCGTGATTTTAGTGCTACATTTGCCCTCGTGACAAAATTGACTACTGTTCAGTTGATTATTTCTCTGGTTGCGGAGTACTCTTGACCTCTTCATCAGTTCGATGTGAAGAATGCGTTTCTTAACGGTGATCTGGACGAGATTATTTATATGGATGCACTACCAGACTTTTATGGTGAGGGGGAGTATGCTGGAAAGGTATGTCGACTGCGTAAGTCTCTTTATGGACTGAAATAGTCACCACGAGCCTAATTCTCTCGCTTTAGTAATGTAGTCGTACGTTTGAGGTTCACCAGATGTCATTATGATCATACCTGCTTTATTCGATGGAATACTTCTAGACAGTGTGTCATCCTTCTGGTATATGTTGATGATATTATTATTACTGACGATGATGTTTCTGGGACTGCACAGGTCAAGGTAGACCTTGGGAAGGCCTTCGATGTGAAGGACCTTGGATTTCTGCGATACTTTCTTGGGATTGAGGTTGCCAATAGTAGCAAGGGTGTTGTTCTTTCTTAGAGAAAGTATGTTTTCGATCTTCTTTCAGACATTGAGATGTTGGGGTGCAAACCGGCATCATCACCCATGATTCCAAACCTGAAGCTTACTATTGAAGGTAAGGAGTTGAGAGATCCGACAGTTTATCAGAGGTTGGTAGGTAGACTTATCTTCTTAGCTAACACTAGGCCGGATATTTCATTCGTAGTAAGCCGAGTTAGTCAGTTCATGCACAGGCTGTGTTAGCCTCATCTTGATGCAGTTTATCATATTCTTTGGTACCTTAAGTCTTGTCCTGGACTTAGGTTGTTCTATG